CCTTCACGTCGCGTAGTCGGAGACGCTGCACGCCGGCTGTTGAAACAGGCACCGCAAAGCATGTTACAGGACGGCACCTCTCGATCGCTCCGGCCCATGGGAATTTTTCGGGGGCTGTACGAAACTCTGTTAGAAATTTTCCCTTCAAAACTACTATCCACCTCTCTGCTGTCGATTTGTCTTTTCCTGACCACCCCGTAGCATTTTGACGCTTTTTAATAATAATGAACTTGCGAAGAACGAGTATATGTACGCCCCATTTATCTCAACCGCGTTAGCGTCAATTTGACCATATTTATCGACTTATAACTTCAAAGCCACATAAATATTACATTATATTTTTGCAGACTCTCAAACGCAGCTAAACGATTTGCAGACGTCTCAAACGCAGCTAAACGATTTATTCCTTCCCGCGTCCTTACATACACACAGCACAAGGTCACCAACCACAGAAATTGCACTTTACTAAGACATAATGCACCAAGACACACAAAGGAACTACCAGAAGAGGACCAAAGGAATGCCCCTTAACCAACCTAACCTTACAAAAAGATAACACCCAGGACAAACCTTCCCAACTATAACAAACCCTCCACTTAAAATGAGTTGACGTTTTGTGGATCATTTGACACTATACCCGCGAACAACATTGATCCTGAAGAGACGTCTGAAACGTAGGTCAGAGATTTATTCAGTCCCACTTCCTTATATACACACAGCCACAAGGTCACCAACCTCTTTCCTCTTTAGCAGAGCGGACGCTGGAGAGGAAGTCGTCTCCTCTCCAGTGTTCGTGCTGCTAAAGTAAAAAATGGTGGGAGGAGCTTTCACTCGTTCTTGACCTGTCACCGACTGTAGACACAAAAAGGACCTGCAAGAACAGGATAAAGGGATGCCCAATCACCTAACAAAAAGATAACAGCCAGAACAAAGCTTCCCAACTTAGGCGAACCCTCCAGTTTTATAAAAAGAAATGTACATGTTTTGTGGAACATCTGACACTACACCCGCGAACAACAGTGACCCGCGAACATTTCATTTTATGCATTCACTTCAAGGGCGTTTCTGAGGACGCATTACATAAGGGGGGTAGGCCGTGCGTACATTCGTAACATAATCACACACATTTCTCCAATCACAGTCATTGTATATCGAAACAATCGCAATCAGCAAAACACAGTTTACAAAAGAAAAGTGACATCGTACACACAGAGTAGCAACTTTCAACTCGAAGTAATTATGTATAAAACAATAATTTCAATAAGGTGAAACAGGAAATAACTATAAAAGCAAGACATAAGCACGTAGTACGTGTACTATTCATACCATAGGCGCTCGCACATTGTTTTAAATTCAACGGGGTTTGTGTTGGTAACCATATCGTCTGGCAAGTTGTTCCATTCTGTAATCGATAATATTAAGGATGAAAACAGAAAGGAATTTGTGTGTGACAAGTATTGTTGTATCTTAGCAGTATTATTGGTTCGAGAAGAAATAAAATATAATGTGCGGAATGACAATAAGTGTTTTTAAAGCACGAGTTACTGTAGTATAAGTCAGTAAAGAAACATATTCGGTTAATTTTGCGCCGGGCTGACGATGAAGTGGGACGCAAATTTGTTCTTAAAATTGATATGAACCCGGCTGCTTTACTTTGGACAGATTCTAGTTTAGAAGAAAGATAATTTTGATGTGAATGCCATAGGACAATTGAATAGTCTGGTTTTGGAAGAACTTTTATACGCTAGCAGTTTTATTGAAGTGGGGGCCAGGTGTAGGGTGCGCCTTAGGAAACCCAGAGGTTTTAATGAGTTGGTAACTAAGTTGTCGGTATGTTTGGTTGCGTGATAATGTTTCAAGAGATGTGGATTCCCAAGTATTTGTATAGTGAAACACATTGAAGTTGCTGCACACGTAATGCATATTGGCTGGAGAATTAGTTCGAATTCTTAGTAACGGACAGTTGTTTACATTTGTCGGGTTTAACTATCATCTGTCATTCTGAGCACCAGGAAGATATAGCGTCAAGGTCATTTTGGAGGATGTAATAGTCCTTTCGTGTCTAAGGTTTTCCTATAAATAACGCAATCATCTGCAAATAGGCGAATAGTTGAGGTAATAGCAGAGGGAAGATCTTTAATATAAATGAGAAAAAGAAGGGGTCCGAGAACGCTTCCTTGGGGGACGCCTGAAGATACTGGGACTGAGTTAGATGAAGAACCATCCACCGAGACTGACTGTTGTCTGTCTGTTAGAAACGAGGCGATTAATTTTATTACTACAGGGTTAATCTGGAGGAGAGAACGTTTTAGGAGTAGTCGTTGGTGGGGGACCGTATCGAATGCTTTGGCAAAGTTTATAAATATAACCTCTGTTTGTATTGAGGAAGTACTATTAAGATGCAGATCCGTGACAAACTCAAAGAGTTGTCTGTACAGGAGTGGCCTTTTCCATAAAACCGTGCCGGTTGGAGAAAAAATGCGTTGGTCCAGGTGTGAGATAATATTAGAATAAATACGTGTTCTATGAGCTTACACGGTACAGACACTTGTGGGCGAGATAGGTCTGTAGTTTGATGAATGTTATTTGTTGCCCGACTTGAAAATCGGTTAAACTCGGGCGAATCGCCAGTTAGCTGGTATATCAGCAGAATTTAGACTTTGTTGGAAAAGAGCGCTGAGTATTTTTTGACGCTCAGTGCTGTGTCGGTTTTCGTAGTTATTAGACTCGCTATTAGAAGTGCTGTCCTGTGTCATTTTCGCTGTTAGAAGAGCGTTTTTAGATTGACTTGTGGATTATTTCCGGGATGAAGGAGATTGAAGGCACTCATATTTCCTGATAACATGGTAAACATCCACCAGCTCACCTGTACTTTAATTGTTTTTACTTTATTTGAAGGCATTTATATCTCGACTTTTTACTTTTTGCCTAAAATTAAGTTTAGTTTTGTCCAAATAATCAGACTCGCATTTAAATTGCAAACCGTATTAAAAAAAATAAGCAGTTTAGCCCGCCTAAGTAAATTCGTCATCGGATCACGACGGACGGCGGAGAAAAGCTCACCGGAGAAAAGCTCACCGGAGAAAAGCCGCAGATGCGGAGGAAAGCTCACCGACCCTTGAGCGGCTGCAAAGAAAAGCTCGCCGTTTTTTGTTGTTGTTGTTCTTAGCTTAGCGGATTGTGCGTCACATGTGGCAAATTAATGCAATTATAATTCGTCCCTCCTTTAAAAAGATTTGTCCTCTTTTTTGTAACATTCTTGAAGTGTACTGGGCATATTTACTAATTTGTCAAAAATTAGTAATCACCCATCCTCTAGTTAAATGACACCGCAAATATAAAATCAGAACATGGGGCACCCGTAAAAGAGACAATTTATTGACAGCTTGACAGTGCGCCGTCGGTAGCTCTGTCAGATAAAAAGGTTTGTTTTTGCAAGCTAATACGAATAACGGTGTGTGAACTGTTTCAGCCCCGAAGATTGTGTGGTGCCTGATTGATAAGTAGGTGTTTGTTGATGTAATCAGAATCGGCTACGCTATTTTCTTTCTGGTTTTCTTTTTTTTTTTTTACTAATGAAGCTTTAGTTGCAAGAACAGCGTCGTCCTGTCGCGTTTGTTGTCTTCACTCCGTCTTCGTTGTTTGAGTGGTTTTCATCATGGTGTAACGTTTACCAACTTACCCAATTCGCTATTTTACAGAAGACTAGTTCATAGTCACACCACAAGTCACATGTAACGACGGTGAAACTGTGCAGCTCCTCCGCTGCGTGCGAACGAAACTGGTCGAAGTTCAGCGGTGTCCACACCAAAAGTAAGAACCCACTTAAAGGACACAGAGTGAAGAAGTTGGTGTTCGTTCGCTCCGATCTCGAGCTCAGGAGCCGTGATCTGAAATGCAACGACGGAGATGACTCAAGCATAAATTCAGAGTAGTCATAACTAACACACTGCTTTAGAACATCCATCTTAATTTATAGAAAAAATCTAGTCAGAGCGTGCATGTCTACCTTGCCCAATGTTGGTTTTAAGTTTGGTCCTGTCCTCTTTAATGCAGAACTAGTTGTACCCTAGAAAAAAAAAGGGGTCATGACAAAATACATCAATGTCGTTAAACTTCGCTGCCCTTTGAATACTATTTTTAACCTGTCATTACAACATGGCACTACCTTCATGATAGTACAGACAGCAATTTCTTTCTTCCATGGTTGACATGCGACTATATTTCGTCAATCTGCTGTTATGTTACTTAAAGCTATGTTAATGTTGTTGTGTGGAGACATGGCTATGAGTTAAGAGTTTCATATATATTGATTTATTGTCCGAAAAACAAGCCATAGATAAAAACACGGCTTCATCACATGCGAACACACTACATCAACAAACTTCGGAGGGCACAGTAATTTCTCCTCTGAATAAAGCGTTCACCAAAGTCTTAAATATTTATAGCCATATTGAAAAGTAAAGCAACGGTCATTCGGGATGGTTGGTGCATGATTTTTAGACAATGCAAACGGTGCAACGACGGGGCGAGGTAGGCGGTAGCCAGACAACGCGAGGTGTTCGTGTTTCCTCTCTTGCCCCGTCGTCGCGCTGTTTTGTTTTCTTAGGGGCTGAAAGATGTATTATGTTCAGTATAGCGTGATTAAGTTTCCGCCTCCTCTGCCGGAAAAACTCAATTCAGAGGGTCGTGACGACTATTTGCCCTCTCAATGTGGTCAGTGACACCAATTTTAACGTTCGTTGTAGAAACGTGCTTAACAGGTTTGTTAATACTTGAGAAACTTGGGTTTCGGTTTTTTTCTTTTCCAAATACTATGTCGAAAAAAAAAGAAAAAGAAACAGTTCTTTTTTGAAAGTTTTGTTTTTATACTTCACGAGCGCTCGCATCACTACTCGCAAGACGTGCCCTGCTTGATCCTGCAAGGCTACCCAAGCAAGCCCCAAGGATCGCTCATCACCGCCTCCCGCCGTCAAGCTCGCCTTGTTCATAGTCGAGCCGCCTGAGACGCCGCGTGTATGACGAGGCAACAGAGCCTCAAGGACGCTCGCTCCTTTGGTCTTTAAATAAAAAAAAAAGCGTCCGAAAGCAAGCAAAAGCGACCGACTAGCGGGAAAATTATTCTGGAGTTGGCAACAGGGCCAACAAGCAGTCGACACTCGCACCGCCGCCGCCCACGAACAGACTTCGTCCGACGGACGGCACACTCGAGGAGCGGTCTCTTCGGCCACGGGTGAGGAATCTGCAGTTTTTCTCGGGCATCGCCTTCCGTTCCTCGAACGCGTCTGCGCTTAGCTGCAACCGTTACGTTCCTACCTTTAAAGCGGGTCACCCACCCACCCGTCGACGAGGACAAGTTTTGTCGCACGGGCAGCCTCCCACGCGGCAAGCATGCCCGAATTATCTTTGGAATGCGGAAGCCCCTAAAAACCGCCGTCGTGCGCCGGTTACCATAGCAACCATCGCTGACGCTGTAACGCGGCGGAGCAGCATGGGGCCACGTCCGGTGCCAGCGACTTTTGGCTGCGCCACGCCCGTTTTCATTGCTCTCACGAGGAAGCGCGCCGGTTGTTGACGAAACTTGGCTTCGTCGTCCCGGCGGTCTTTCTCGTTCGGCGAGCTCGTCTACCTTGGACGACGGAAGTTGAAGCGTTCCCCGACAAGTCCAGGGCCCTTCCGCCCTGAGTAGTGCGAGGAGTAGCCACCACGGGACGGGGCAAGCACCCGGCGGCGCGGCCTCGTTTCGTCGTGCCGTCGATACAAACAACCTTTGTTACGCGGACAGTCTCTTCACTTGTAATGTCACGCCCGCCCTCTTCAAAAAGGGCACTCTACAAGTTTTCTTTTTTTTTTTTTAGCTACCTCAACTCACTATATTTCCTGACTCCCCGGCCTTTACCCTTTCCGGTATGCTGTTTACTATCGCGAAATTCTTAATAGTTACTGTGAAATCGACATATTAAAATGATGCAAAAACCCACACTTTTCAGTGCCGTGACTTCAGTGACAGACAGGCTTGCCAGTCGAGCAAGCAGTCTAAAAAAATAGAATAGACCAACCATTTGTTCCGTGCTGGAGTGCGGGGACTGCAGCGAGCTTCCAAAGCATTCATTTGACACCATGAAACTGCTTGGAATAAGTTGGGAACAAATTCTACAGTCCAGAGATTAAACCCTGCCCTCCTTTGACGTCACTTTTTCGTTGTTGCCAGTTGAGACTTTCAGTTTAAAAGAACATGGTGAGGGCCGAAACTGTAAATTCAATAATTTCGCGAAGAAAGAATATTTTGACCTAACATTTGGGATACTATTTTACCGATGCTTGTTTGCGAGTTAAGCGAAATTTCAAGCAAATCGGAGGCCATAAAAATACCTGTGGATTACCCCTGAGAACGGAACCTACTGCATGCAGCCCCCTCCCCCCCCCCCCCCCCCCCCCAATAAAAATAAATAGATAAAAATAAACGCGGGAACTTCGGGATAAATGCTAACGGTTGTACCCTTTATATTCGGGTGGTAGCTTGCGCAACCCAGCCTAGAAATTAATAACCAAAAGTATGATTTCTTTTTTCACTAATTGCTTACCCTCTGCAAATTTCTAACTATCACCAGGCGGTGGTGTGGAATGTCACCAGGATGACCTTTCTGGAATCGGGGAAAAAAAAAAAACTAAAAACTTCACCCCCCGCCTTTTTCCGCCGGCGAGGGAGTCGCCAATTTTCCTCTAGTCAAACCTAGTCGGCATTATCCCGGCACTAGGCTCACTGGAAGAAAGGGTGGAGACTTGGGGCCAGAGCCACGCGGGAGAGAGTCCCAATTTTTCTCTGTCCCAGCCCTTCCCAGCTGTGTCAGTTAGTTGTGTGTCATTTCTTTCAATCTCCCCTTTGTTATTAAAATGAGGTTATCTTTCATTCTTCCATTCTCGTCCGCAAAACCAAGCACTACGGCTAAATCTGTCTCCCCCTCCGGAGGGCGGGAGCTAGCCCTACTCACCTCAACACCACCTGTTCTGTTGTCTCGTCTTCCCCACAGCGCACCGCCGTGTCCATTTCCTCATACTCAGTCCTATAAGTCCTAGTCCTCAATGTCCCTGTTCTAGCCTCGAATAACAACGAGCTCCTCCGTGAATTACCATACCAATGTTCCTTCCTTATTTCCTGTTTTCGTTCCCTATACATAGTTAAGGCTGATTTTCCCTGCATTCTTTCCTCCCACATCTTTCTCTTGCCTTCTTTGAATTTCTTCTTTACATAGGTAGTCTGTCCTGCCCCCCGCACTTGAGTGTTGGTATTCGAGTTTCAGTTTTTGAATTCGATGTGTCCATTTAGTGTTAAAACTTTTCATATATAGATGCTTATATACCTTTCTCACCTATCGTGTATCCTCAATTGTGTCCAGTTTTTGTTCGAATTTCAAACTACTGATCGCCTCTCTAGCCTCAAAAAATGCCCAGCCCATGTCTCCCTGCACTCCATTATTTGGTGTGTCTCCATGCGACCCAAGTGCCAGTCTGCTCACGCTCCTCTACCGGGAAGCCCAACTGAACCTCCGATTTTATGCATAATACCGCGATGCCAAAAGACAACCCCGGCTTTTTGTCTCCTTTCCCTATTCTCCTAACAACTTCATATCTATTGTAATTCCATGGTGGCCTATGGTTCATAATTGCTACGTTCCTTTTCCCTTCCTTTAAAATAATTTCCTCCTGCTCTTCTAAGTATTGTTTTCCCTCAGTCAGTTAAGGTCCTAGGTATTTATACTTCTCTACGTATTCCATTCAGACACCTGGAATGTTCAGTGGGTCCCCCTTCTCATCGTTATAAACAATTGTTTTCGGCTTGCTGCTACTGAATTTCAGGTCCAGAGGGCCTCTTTCCTCTCCACAGATCTTAATCAGCTCCTGAAACCCATCCCGGCTACCTGTTAACAGTACAATGTCTGTGTAGAACATTCCTGGTATAACTTGGTTTGATTTTTCATCTTTCTCCATATATCAGACATCAAAACCTAAATTGCGCTCTTCTTATTTTTTTTCCATTCTGCTCATGCATATCATAAAAAAATAGAGGTCCTCTTTTTTATTTCTGCCGGTATTGTTATTTCTGCTTCCCACGTGATAACAGACTTATTATTTGTATATACGCGTTGTAAAACCATCATCAAGTGTACATCTAAATCGTACTCTCTCGGCTGTACCCAGAATTGTTTTCTGTCTCCCATTGGCGTACGCCTTTTTAATGTATAGAAATGCTATCCATAACAGCTTTTTACTCATCCGCGCCATCTCTATACATTGAGTGATGATGAATAAGTTATCTCCTAACCTTCTATCTCTTCGGAACCCGTTCTGTAGCTCACCTAAAATGTTTTCGGCCAATTCTTCCATTATTTTCACTACCTGCATCGCTAGTCTGTACAGGACCAAAGTTACTGTTACTGTGTGGTATGACGTTATGTTATCCCTATTTCCCTTACGTTTATATAGTAATATCATTCTGCTCAGTCTCAAATCAATGGGTTCCTCCATTATTATTTAATTAGCTACCTGTCTTAACTTTAATTAGCTTTTTGTTCCTAGGGTCTTGACTAGTCTCATTCCTATGCCATCTGGGCCTGTCGCAGTTACAGCAGGTACTTTACTTTGTGCTCTGTCCCATTCCCCCTTGTTCGTGTCAGTTTTCTCTTAGCGCACTCGTCATATGCCGTGCAATTGTTTCTTTTTTACCCCCTTCTCCGTTTAGTGTACCTGTATCTTTTGCTTTGGACAGGCACACAGTTCCCACGAAACTTCGTGGGCACATGTCTCAGCATAGAGTTTGTGTCGCTTTTATACAACATTTATGGTAGCGACGTGGACCACACATTGTGGAAAGATGTCTAAGTTTTAAAAGGTCAAGCACGTAGAGCAATATGCGTACCATTTTCGGCTGGTTCTACTATAATTCATGATCTGCTTGTTCTCAACAATTCGTGCATTACTATGAAAGTCGAGCGTTATATATATTCAATAATATCCGTTCTGTTATAGTATGATTGCCGTGGTTAATAATACTGGTGAAAATAAACCTAGTACTCTTTGTAATAAAGGAATTCCTCTACTATCGAAACAACGTACTGATAATTCGACTAACACAAAAACAACGTAAAAAAAAAGAGCTGCCGCGGACATTTTTTTTTTACGGAATAAATAGATTCCTCAAGGTATATATTTATTAATTTATGAATTAAATGCTTCCTTAACTATGTATAATGTTTAAGGTGGCATTAGCTTAAGATGCAAAATAAAACCTCTAACGAATCCGCGTAGTTTAAAGACAAAGAAATGAATAAGAAATTATATCCTTGTTTTAATTAGCAAAATTATCTTCATTTTTTTTACCAGGTGATATAGGCAACAGCGAATGACCGTTGTAAGTCAACATGAGCGTGACAGCAAAGAGAACCCCGTACCTCCTGATGATTGACGGCGTCCCTCGGTCTCCTCTCTATAAACCAGAGGCGGTTCGCGAAGCCTTGAAGTTCGAACCAACTGCCAACGACGTCATCCTTGTGACCCATCGGAAATCGGGCACACACTGGGTAAAACAAATCCTCCTTCTGCTTCTGAACAAGGGTCAGTCTCCGGATGACTTCGCAGACTTCACGAGACAAACTCCTTCCATCACTTCGTTGGGAATAACAGCTTCTGATAAATCGCCGATGTTTCTTCGTACGCACTTTTCATTCAGAGAGCTCAAGTACTCCAGAAATGCCAAGTATATCTATGTCGCACGCAACCCTTGGGACACGTGCGTGTCCTTATACCACCACGTAAAAACACGACCCCATTATCGATTTCAAGACGGCACCTTCGAAGAATTCGTCGATGCATTCATCAAAGGAAGGGTCGGTCAGGGGGATCACTTGGATCACGTGTTATCCGGGTACGCCCTGCGACACGAAGCCAACGTCCTCTTCCTGACCTACGAGAAGCTGAAGGAAGACACAGCAGGCACCATACTCAAGACAGCCAAGTTTCTCGGCGATCCTTACGCCTGCATGTTTGACCAGGACCCCGGACTCATGGTGGAAATCCTGTCCAAAAGCAGCATCGAATTCATGAGGAAAACGTTCCACGTGAGCTACGAAGAACTTCGAGAGATTTACAAGAATCGACCCATGAATCCAGAGGCTGAGAAAGATTGGAAGAATATACGAGATGGAACGACAGCATGTGGGTTTGTGCGAAACGGAACAACAGGTGACTGGCGAGGACACTTCTCACCCGAACTGCTAGAGCGGATGCAAGCTTGGATCGACTGCAAGACTCGCGGCTCAGACGTCATGTGCCTTTGGGAGCACGAACTCGCGGCAACGAAATTGGCGCAAGCAATTGCATTCGGCTGATATTTACTGCAGTATGAGTGTAAATTAAAACATTTATTTTTTATTCAAACCTGGAATCAAAATTGTTACGCAAAAATATATGTTTACAAAAATTCTATCTGGCGTTTCGTGGGATGCTCTACATGGATTACCGCTACGCCACCTTCGACATGTTGCTGAGAATCCGAGAGACTGTAAAATGTTTAATGAAAGCAACGCGAAGCTCCAGTTGCGGTGTTTAGGGAGAAATTATGATATGCGAGAAAGCAAAGTGCAGAAGATATCAATAGGACGAGTCATAACGGCTAGCGCGACCTAAAAATCACGTCGGCTCTCGCTGTGGTTCGCAGCGCTAACTCGGCATCTCCACGTCGGTATTGTGCTTCTGCCATCCGAGCGGAGCCACCGCTACAATCTAACGGAGTCAATCAAGCAGGGCCAAAAGTTCACCGTCATGGCGCTTGTCGTATGTGGAGCGCAAGTTCGTCTGCTTCTTTTGCAGAGGTTGTGATGACGTCAGAGAGACGCCGAGCTCTGATTGGCTCTGATTGAAGAATAGTGGGTAGACCTCAAAGCGAGCTGCCTCGAGGTCTACTTCTATCCTTCAATCAAAGCCAATCAGAGCTCGCCGTTCTGACGTCACCACAACCCCTGGAAAAGAAGCAGACGAACTTGCCCTCCGCATTGGTACGTTTGCAATCAAGACTAAACCGATCACACACAGGGAGTGCACCGAGACATTGCGCTTTTTTCTGTGCGTTATTGGTTTAGCCGGAGATTACGAACGCACAAAAATGACGAGCATCGTGACACTGCACTTTTACTGTTGCTGCAACGCGCCTTCTACAAACTGAGGGTGTGAGAGTGCGGGGACGGTGAGAAAAGACAGACGACGCTCGACGTGTTCGGAACGCGGGGCCAGGCCGGAGGCAGCGGGGCGCGGATGTGGAAGGCGGTCGGACGACAGACCCAGACAAGCCCGAGCTTTTCGAGACATCCACCTGGCCTGACCTTCGGCTCCAGCCAAGTCGTCACGCCCGGCTGAAGGCTGGTGTGTGTGTGTGTGTATGTTGGGTCGCCTGTCAAGACCACGGCAACCGCATCCCCTCACACACTCCACCCAGAGCGCCGATGTCCACTTCACCGCCGATTAAAGTATCCGCCGGCCTCAACTTCGTCCCCTGGCTCGTCACCACTTCAGCACCCAAAGTACCCAGCGCCCAGCAAGATGGCAAACTGATAAGTTTTGTGTGTGAACTATTCAAACATTTTTTTGCGAACCCTTTCAAAATTTTTGTACCGCTGTGGCTAATTCTCTCTGTCTTCCCGAAGCGTATTGCTTCAGTCATTTCAATGCACATATAGAGTTTTGTATGTATGTGTGTGCAAACGGCCTCGTAGTTTTTTATTGCGGGAGTCCCGACTTAACCAGAACATTTTAACATTACAGGCTTCATTGGATAATGGCATCCATTGCCCTGGGATTTTAAGTGAAACGGAATATGTATCTACGAAAGTCTTCATGACGCCTTGCGTCGAATCGTTAATATAAAGCTTTTAGCATAGGCGCACCTCACTGAATGTAGAGCTGACATATGGTTATCAACTCGTGGTCACCGCAATATCTCAGCAAGCGTTTGCTCCCAAAAATGCAAACGCTTGCTAAAAAGAAAACAGAAAAATAAAGTAATGTTTTCTTCACAAAGCGCTCACCATGGTTAGAGGGTTTCCCCAATCGCTTCCTTTCCAGCATCCGCCCCGCTAAAGTGGAAAGGGTGCAGCCTTTATGGGACAAGCTTGTCCTGCTTTTCTAGACTTGCAACAGACAATGACGACACTTGTAAAGATGTCTAGGGTTTACAAATAAACTTCGTTGAACATTGCATACCCCCTAGTTCTACCAGTCTTCATTTTCTATTTCCTCTCTGTCATCCCTGAATGACAACACTAGTGGAGCACCGTCCATTATTTTGTTTTATGAGAGCGCCTTCGTTTATAATAATAACACAGGTAAAAATAAATGAAAGCGCGCGACAAGACAGTGGCGCCCACGGCGCGGCTCTCAAACACCGTTCACCCTTAAGCTGAGACTGCATCAAACGACATAAGCACGACAGCTCGAGGTCGCTGATTTGAAGCATTCTTCTGTAGAACGATCGCTCGGGCTAGACACGAATGTCCATAGCCTGGCAGTTCGATGAAAGAGCCATGGAGTGCCCGGTCGCGGATTTGGAACGTGATGATGTGGTAGCACAGAGCACCTATCGAGGAACGTGATCGGGGAAAGGGGGGGGGGGGGGCGAAATAGAAACAAAATTAGGCAGACAGAAAGAGGGAAAAGCTGTGATAAGGGTTGAAAATGAAAGTGACTAACACAAGATAACCTATTTAAATGTACAGTACATTTGGGCCTTTTCAGGAATGGGGTGTAGGTGCAGTGTCAGCACTTTTACAATGCAATGGAAAGCACATATAAAACCTGCGACACGTCAAGAATCGAAGTTTGAAGCAAAAGTGGGACGAGCCAAAACATTTGTCTGGTAGGCTATCTAAACTGGACGTGATACTACTTGCTGGAGTAAAAGTAAATGATGAGGCTTGTAGTACCTTCAACCGGAACGGGTTCCACTGCTATCGTTTATGCGGGGTAGAAGGAAGGGGAGGAAATATTTTTGCACTAATTGATGATCAACTGTCTGTCTGACAATTTGAAAATATCGTTTCATCAAGCCGAGGTGATGATAATAGAAGTGAACAAATTTTAAATATGTTTTACTGTTTGCGCGGTAAATGTTTAGCTATAACTGGGGATTTCAATATAGACGTTCTGAATGTTTGAAAACGTGGTGTCAACAACTATCTTGACTTATTATCTAGTTACGGGTTCGAAAATGTAATCGCCGAAGTCGGTAGGAAACAATATCTAGAAAAAGAAATAACCAAATCTTGTATTGACCATATTGTCACGAATTAAGGCGACGAGAAGGCGAACAATGAACTGAAAAGAAAGGTTTAATGGGCGAACTTGTGCCAACCAAAAAGAAATAACGAAAGAGCGTCGAGGCAGCAGAAAAGCGGGCGGCGGTTCGGCGGCACTACAGAGCGCTAGCGAGACTGGGACTAACTCGACAAGGTCGCGGGCAGTTGCTTATCTACCGTGCGTCACTATCTCGAAAGTTCGGCAAAGAAGGTTCGAGCGTCGCGCGCTCGGGGCGAGGATGAACTGGCACTTTCGAGAATAACAAAGCAGAAGGAAAGTTATGTCTGCTGCGAGAATGACCGGGAATCTTCTAGAAGACCGTGACCGAGCGTTGCCTTCTCGGCTCTGCGGGTGGCATTATCCCCCCTTTAAAAGTGCATCGCCCCGATGCAAAACGAAAGGAAAACGGAAATGGCTAAAACAATTACGGCGAAACAAAACAAACATGCAGTTTCACAATCCTAACGCGCGTAGAACGGCTTGAGTCGAACAACGTGGACGACTTCGGGTCGTGGCTGGCGGCGTCCTGATGGGCGAGTTCCGTCGGGGAGCACCTCGTAGTTCAAGTCCCCAAGGCGGCGGATGACCTTGTAGGGTCCGAAGTAGCGTTTTAACAGTTTCTCGCTGAGGCCGCGGCGGCGAATGGGTGTCCACACCCATACCCTGTCTCCGGGCTGGAACTCCACGTCGCGGCGGCGAAGGTTGTACCGGCCAGCGTCCACACGTTGCTGGTCCTTTATTCGAAGACGGGCTAGCTGGCGTACTTCTTCTGCTCGTTGGGTGACCAGCTGGGCGTCGTCAGTGCCGTCATCCGTCGGGTCGTGGGGCAGCATGGCGTCGAGCATCGTCGTCACCTTTCTGCCGTGCACCAGCTGAAAGGGTGTAATGCCGGTAGTTTCTTGAATCGCCGTGTTGTACGCAAACGTGACGTAGGGCAGCACTTCATCCCACGTCTTGTGTTCCACGTCAACGTACATAGAAATCATGTCGGCGATGGTCTTGTTTAGTCGCTCCGTCAACCCGTTGGTCTGCGGGTGGTATGCCGTGGTCCGGCGGTGGTCGGTGTGGCTCAGGCGGAGTATCTCTTGTGTCAGTTGCGCCATGAACGAGGATCCTCGATCCGTAATCAGGACTTGGGGAGCGCCGTGTCGGAGGACGATAGACTCCACGAAGAATTTGGCTACTTCCACGGCGGTCCCCGACGGGAGTGCTTTTGTCTCGGCGTACCTGGTGAGATAATCAGTTGCCACGATTATCCACCGGTTTCCCTGCGCCGACGGTGGGAAAGGTCCGAGAAGATCCATTCCAACCTGCTGGAATGGTGTAGTCGGGGGCGCGATCGGTTGCAAGAGACCTGCCGGCTTCGTCGGTGGTTTCTTACGTCGTTGGCATTCGTGGCACGAACGGACGTAGAGGTGGACAGTCTTCGGAAGCTTGGGCCAGTAGTATTTTTCTCGGATCCGTGCAAGAGTCCTACTGTAGCCAAGGTGACCAGATGTTGGGTCGTCGTGGCAGGCTTGGAAGATCTCTTCTCGAAGACTAGCAGGAATCACTAGCAGCCACGTCGAGTTGTTGTCCCCGAAGTTTTCTTTATAGAGGATACCTCTCCGGACGGCGAATCGTGGCAGGTCACGTGAGAAGGCTCGGAGAATCGTACCCCCTCGTCCCTCCAAGTGGTCGATCAATGCACGCAGCTCAGGATCGTCCCGCTGGAGCGCTGCCATGCCGTGAATGCTCACCGCGCCAAGAAAGTGGTCGTCGTCGTCGTCGTCTTTGGCACATCCGGCAGCTGACTCGACAGGGGCTCTGGACAGGCAGTCGGCGTCGCTGTGTTTTCGGCCTGACTTGTAGACCACGGTTACGTCGTACTCTTGCAGTCGTAGGCTCCATCGAGCGAGGCGTCCCGATGGGTCCTTCAGGCTCGCTAACCAACACAGCGAATGGTGGTCGGTGACCACCCGAAACGGAGTCCCGTACAGGTATGGGCGGAATTTCGTGATAGCCCAGACGACGGCCAGACATTCCTTCTCGGTCGTCGAGTAATTGCGTTCCGCGTTCGACAGCGTCCGGCTAGCGTATGCGATCACGCGCTCCGCACCTTCTTGTCGTTGGACCAGTACCGCTCCGAGTCCTGTATTACTGGCGTCCGTGTGGACCTCCGTTTCGGCTGATTGGTCGAAGTGGCCGAGAATCGGTGGTGACTGGAGCCGTCGCTTTAGTTCGTCGAATGCCTGTTGTTGTTCTTCACCCCAGTCGAAGTTCACGGTGTCCTTCGTAAGGTGCGTTAGCGGCGCAGAAAGCTTGGCGAAATCCTGAACGAATCGCCGGTAGTATGCGCAAAGCCCAAGGAATCTTCGGACGGCAGTTTTGTCGGTGGGCGGTGGAAAGGCCGCTACGGCGCGAGTCTTCTCAGGGTCAGGACTTACACCTTCGTTGCTCACCACGTGGCCCAGGAACTTCAGTTCGCCGTAGGCAAACCGGCACTTCGTCGGCTTGAGGGTGAGTCCTGCGGCCCTGATTGCCTCTAAAACGGCCCGAAGGCGTCGCAAATGCTCGTCGAAGTTGGCCGAGAATACCACGACGTCATCGAGGTAAACGAGACAGCTCTGCCACTTGAGGCCTGCCAGGACGGTGTCCATGACACGTTGGAACGTTGCCGGCGCCGTGCACAGTCCGAAGGGCATCACCTTGAACTCAAACAGTCCGTCGGGCGTGACGAAGGCAGTCTTCTCTCGGTCCCGTTCGTCGACTTCGATCTGCCAGTAGCCACTCTTAAGGTCCATCGACGAAAAGTATCGGGAGTGGCGCAGCCGGTCCAGCGTGTCGTCGATGCGGGGGAGCGGATACACATCTTTCTTCGTGACCGCGTTGAGCCGCCGGTAGTCAACGCAGAATCGAAGCGTTCCGTCTTCCTTCTTTACCAGCACAACTGGAGAGGCCCACGGGCTGCTCGAAGGCTGAATGATGTCGTCGTTGAGCATCTCCTGTACTTGTTCATGAATGGCCTCTCGTTCCTTTGGGGAGACCCGGTACGGCGGCCGATGCACAGGGAGCGCGTCCTCGTTGGTAATGATGCGGTGTTTCGCAACTGTTGTCTGGCGCACCCTCGACGTCGTCGCAAAGCAGTCGCCGAACTCGGCGAGGAGGTCTCCGAGCTGTCGTCGTTCCGTGGCGCTGAGCTTGGGGTTAACGTCGAGCTGTGGCGGCACAGTACTGGACGGCTGACATGGCGAGGGCTCGTCGGAGATCGCGGCGATTTCGGCGTCGGCCCGGAGTTCCTCGACGTGTCCTATAGTGGCACCTTTCGTGAGATGCTGCGCCTCCGGTCGAAAGTTCGTCGCGAGGACCACACAACGTCCATCCTGCAGCTCTGCTACGCCCCTTGCGACGCCTATTCCTCTTCCGAGAAGCAGTTGGACGTTGCCTTCCAAAAGGACTTTCCCGCTGGCAACTGCGTCGGTAACGACGGGCACAAGAACACTCGACCGTGGCGGCAGGTTCACGTGGTCCGCAATGACTCGGACGGCGGCTGGCGACGTTTTGGATTCCTCCGGAGGTAGCACGGGCTTTCGCAGCGTCAACCTGTTTGCTCCAAGGTCGATCACGGCACCGTACTCACAAAGGAAGTCCATGCCAAGGATGACGTCTCTCGAACAGTCTTTGAGGACGACGAATTTGACGGGGCAAGACTCTCCGTAGATGTCCACGCGCGCAGTACACCTTCCCACTGGTGTGATGAGATGTCCGCCGGCGGTTCGTATTTTCGGGCCATCCCACGGCGTCATCACTTTCCGAAGGCGGCGAGAGAGCTTCCCACTTAAAACGGAATAGTCTGCTCCGGTGTCGACGAGTGCCTTCGCGTCGTGGCCGTCGATGGTAACGTCGAGGTTATTCGACACCGTCAC